AAAAGTGCTTTTAATATACTAAAAATTAAAGAAGTTAAAGCCAAATAACGGTCCAAAAATCTGTAACTTAACTTTTCAATGTTTTTTTGGTGAGTTTGCTAGCTCTAACTCATTCAATTTTCATTTTTTTAAAGCGCTTTCAGATTTGAATTCAGCATAAAATTTCCAAGAAAATTATGTATAACATAAAATTTTTCAAAATATTTTTTTTTTAGGTCGATACGGTGATTTCTCCGATATTAAATCGTCAATTCGCAACCGAACGGACGATTTTTAAACTTTTTTCAATAAAATGTTTTTTTAAAGTAAAAAACGCAGCAACCTCAGGTGGCGGTTTGCTGAATTCTAAAAAAAAAATCACAGATCAATCACCCTTAATATTTATATCTTTTTGTATTATTTATTTAACTTTTTCTGATTATGGAGGTTTTTTAGATACCTCTAAAGGGACTGTAAGCGTAATTTCAAGGGAACTTCCATTTACTGAGGGGAAGCCCTGATTCACAACGGAACCCTTTAAATTTTGACTGATCAATGATGACTTATCTTCAGAAACACCTTTAGTGTATCAATTACGTCATTGGTCCGTGTACGCTGCACAATTACTGTGTTTAAAATTCAAAGTCATAACTTGAGTCTAACAGTCGTCTTCTCATTCCGTTATGGGTCTCACTGTATAAAATAATATTATAGAAAAAATATTTTGAAAAGGATGATATGAGTCGAAAAAACGCATAAGATTTAACAATTTAAGGTAAACATGTATGGTCCTGAACTTGTAGGAGTTGGTGATCTCTTTGAACTTGGTAAGTTTATTGTTTTAACTACGTATCATGCTCTGTTTCTTTTCTATTATCACTGCATATAGGTGGGAGCTATAAAACTGTGCAGAATGGAAAAACGATGTATCAACAATTGAGTATTTGTGTTCAAAAAAAAAATAATATTATGAGTATTTGTGTTCAAAGAATAATCTTATCAGTATTTGTGTTCAAAGAAAATAATCTTTTGAGTATTTGTGTTAAAAAAAAATAATCTTATGAGTATTTGTGTTCAGCTAGAATATAATCTTATGAGTATTTGTGTTTAAAGAAAATAATCTTATGAGTATTTGTGTTCAAAGAAAATAGTTTATTGGTTGCTTAAATGGGCCTGGTTGCAATGAACATTACACAATTGTCGTGTTTTATGTTTACTAGACTACAACAAATTATAGCTTTAGTTAATTATTATTTAACATGTGTTCATATCTGTACAACCTGATGCCAGAGACCTTTGACATCTCAAACATGAATTTTGTTAGTCTTAAATCTAGTCGTCACTGTTTGAAATATCAAAGGTTAAGAGATTAGAATTAATGAAAAGTGAGTATAATTGAACTGTTTACACGGAGCTGAACTGCGCTGCCCTATATGTACAAAATCAAAGATATAAGGCAAATAATTTGAATTTTACAGTCAATAATCAAAAAAAATAATGTTTTTAATATTAAAAGCATATTACAGTGATAATCAGAAAACTCTGAAATAGCACAATTGATAAATTATTACAAAGCAAATAGTTTTGATAGACCCCGATTAAATCACTAAATAAGTGAAATGGGTATGCTTTCACTGTACAACTGCTGTGACCCATACTCATTGGAATAAAGTCATATATTTGAGTCTGAAAGTCGTCTTCATAGTTCAGATCTTCGGTTAACGCTATATCCCTTTAATAGTGTTGGGATTTTAACATTTTTTATTTTAAGTTTGTGAAGTTGAAGGGGGGTCAGAACAATATCTTAATATATTCTGGACTGAAGAGGTGATTTCAACAACCTTTAAGTTTTGATGATCCAATTTTTTATGAAAACGATCAATGATTAGAAGCATTTGATTCTAAGGATTCTATTTTTAGAGCTCATGCGATGGACAACGGTTTTTTAATTTATCAAAAATATATAATTAAAGATAATATCAAAAGTCTTCCTTAAATTCCATGTTTACTGGGATACCCTTTACAAAACAAGGAAGAACTACACATAAATTCACTTGGCGTATTGTCCCGGTTTGCCTTACATAGTCTGAAATTGTATTGTGCTGTACTGTACAGCTTGCACTAGCTGGTTCAGAGTCGACCCGGTACTTGAAATGAACATACTTTGAGACAATTTTACTTCAGGCCTTGCCACAAATTCTAATTTTTTAATCCCAATATCTTTTGAACCCTATGTCGTAAACCTTTGATATTTCAAACTTATATGATTTGATCTAGCAGAAGTCATAGTTTGATATGTCAAATATCTAAAACATTGGACTGCAAAGATATTGGAAAATCAGAGTTTGTGACAAAGACTCAATTCCCTTGTCTTCACTTTAAAAATGTTCTAAAAACATGTTCACTTTCAAGATTTTTCCTTTTTATTAGACTATTTGAATTTAAACTGTTTTTGGCATAATTTTTATTTTTCATAAAGTTGAACTTTTTTGTTTTGGATTTGTCTAATACTTATATACTTATAGTTGAAATTCAACTTTTTGACCGAAGAGCTATACAAGAAATTATACATTTTTTATGAAAGTTTACATGTGTGTATTAACCAGAATATATCTGAATGACGGTCGCCTTAATTAATCAAAAACTTCTCGATGCTGTTTTTTAATTTGCTTTTTAAACAATTAAAAAAAACCAGCTTTTCCTGGAAACTAGGTTTTTCCTGTAAAAGTTAGCACAGCCAACTTAAAAATTTTAAACCAACATTGTTTTTGCTGTACCGAGTGCCCCCCAACAAATTGGCTAAGGGGTTTATGAGTTATGATCGAAAATATGCACAGTCGGATATACAAACATCTATTCACACAGACACCCTAAAACAGATTACTTTATATTATCAATCACAACAGTTCCAAATTGCAAAATCTTTGGCAGCGTTTTTTATTATAAAAGATGGGAGGAAGTCGACTTTCATTCCGATTTATTTTGGTTATCATTGTATCATTATATAAATCAATAAATAATCTTTTTACAATATTTGATTTATAGCAGCTAGGCTCACTCCCAAATAGAAACGCAAAAAACTGGGGTTCAACAACTGAAAGGGTATGTATATTGTATAAAAACATTATAAAAGGAATTGAGTCTTTGCCACAAACTCGAATATTTTTCTCCCTATATCTTTGCAAACTAATGGTGTAAAACTTTAATATTTCAAACTTAGTTTATTTAATTCAACTTAATTGATAGTCGGAAACATAGATTAATAGAAATACAGATAGAACACTAGGTGTCGTCTTTTCAATATTTAGTCGTTTTTGTTCACAATAACCCTGAGGCAGAAGCCAAAATGGGTCACGCGAATTCACCGTTGAATTACAAGACAGAGAGAAAGCATGTGCGTAACTCCTTTGGGCTTCTGCCTCAGGGTTATTGTGAACGAAAAACCCCTAAATCTTGAAAAGACGACATATAGTGTTCTGTCTAAATTGTTAATAATCTATGGTTAAATTATCTAAGGTGTAAAACATTGGGTTGCAAAGATAGTGGGATTAGAAAATGATAGTTCGTGTCAAAGATTCAATTCCTTTGTGTTTATTAAATTAGAAACAGTTTTTTTTAAAGATTTACTTGTTTCAGGTTTCAAGACTCAACGTGAACAAACTCAACTATAAGAGAGGAAGTCGGTTCTATTGTTTTGTCGGTAAGTAACTTTATAATAAAGGATTTACATGAAATAAAAACTTGCCTCAGACTCTAATTTTTAATCCCTTTATCTTTATAACTTGGTACCCTAGAACTTTGATGATTCAAATTAAGAATTTTGCAGTAGTAACATGTGCGGTTGTTAGTTAAATCAATTACCAATAAATAACTATCTTTAGGACCAAAATCTAGATTAATCTTCAACCCGTCATATTTAAAGTCACCTGTATTATCCTTTTCTATTAAAACTAGGCTTTTAGGGCGCACCGCACCCATCTTCTACTTCGACTTTTAAATGTGGCATCATCTCTTTGTACGATAAAAACAATAACAAAAAAATTTTGCGGATTTAATAATATTTTTTTCGCACGTTTTTAATTTTACAAAAATCAAAAACTTTTGGAAACAAATTTTTAAAATTTTGAGCAATAATAATCCACAAAATTTGGGCCTGATCGGTTTATTCGTTTTGACGTTTATTGGATACAAACGGACAAACATACAGACAGACACCAACACAAAGTATATATAAAGATACAAATGCAAAGACAACGTTTTGTCGAATTCATAAAAAAGAAATGAATTGATAACTGACAATTTCACAAATGGTACTCATATTGGTAAATTGTAAAATTAAAACATTTCTTTAATTTTTCAGGAGACACCAGACATCCTTCTTCATATGTTGCATACTCATTCAAAGATGTACACCAGCAGTTAGAGTAAGGTTTTCTAGAGATCTCAACTTTTCAATTTTTTAAAACAGATTCTTAAGATTTTGAAGCAATTTCATAATAAAACTAAAAGAACTCATCCGAAGAATATTAAAGGAACTATTAATGTTATTTTTGTTAAACTTTCCCTTTAACTATTTAAAAAATTCGGAAAAAACATAATAGCTATTTTACCAGGCCCGATTAAAAAATAATTGTGACTGGATCAAAATATAGCATTAAATCAAAAGGATCCAATTTTTTTAATGTTTGTGAACTTTCCGAAGTGACAAAATATTTGTGGGGAGTTTTTTTAATGCACGTTTTTTATGACAAGGTGTGAAGATAGAAAGGACCTCTTCTGCCGAATTAGATCTTCTGAAGATGAAGTTTTCTGTTCTATAGAAAGTACGTAAGACCATTTCTATAGGAAATATTATTTACAAATATTCTAAAATTAGAATTTTTCAATATAGGAATTGCAACTTTGCCACATATTTCTAATCCTTATATCTTTGCAATCAAAATGTCGTAGACCTTTAATAATTAAAAACTATGAATTCTACTGAATCAAATAATATAAGTTTGAATAAGGTTTAAGCCATCAGGTTTTAACTAAATGGAATTTAAAAAATTGAGCTTGTGGCAAAGATTTCAGTCCTTTTTACGCAAATCTTGTTGGAAGTTTTCATACTTTCTGTAGAATATATAATATAGACTTTAGATTTAAATTTAGGAATTAAAAACAAAAATGTTTATTAAAATTTTATTTGCATCAAAATTTAAATTATTAGCTAAATTTTAACATTATGGCACACTGAATATTTTATAGTATTGCCATTATAAAAATGAGCAAAAAAGCAAAATAAATAGTATAATAGATTCATGCAATCAAGGTTATAATGCAAGGAAAGTTAATTTCAGTTGCGTATACTCTGCGTACATATTGAAACCAGTTCTCTCTGGGCGGAATTTGTAAACAAGAATAGATGCATCAGTGTTCGTTCAGTATCCCAGGAGGTTAAAAGCATTTATTCTTGATAATTTTGATAATTAACATAATAGTTTCCTATGACCAAAATATTTAATTGATTTTTTATGTGAAAGATGGATCCCATGTCAGGCTTCGACATCCGTCTTGTGTTAACATTACCGCCCAGAGACAGTACACTGCAGTAGGAAAGATGCGTACACCTATAACTTTCCTTGCATTATAACCTTGCATGTAATATTACTAATTACAGGTAAGAATAGATACTGCTGCAAGAGTTGTAACAGCCCTCAAGTCTTCCTACCTCAACAAATTGTAAGTTTTTTTAGATAAATAATTACAATAAAAATTTAAACTGAATGACACTATGTTATGTAGAAAGATTTGAAAATTACAATTTCTTTTTTAATTAATTGTCAAAAATATTTTTAAAAGTTTTGATTTTAAAAGTATACATTGTAATGCATTCACATTCATTGATTTAAAAGCTGGCTGTAGACATCATTTACAGCTATTCTTCAATTCTGTGGAGTGCCATGTCCGATAAACTTTAAATTAGCTCTGATCATCGACGAGATTGAGATATCCTTGTTTGTCTAGCTGAAAATTGAGTGTCTGGAAAATTGAGAGTAGAATGACGTCATAAGGTTCCCGAAAGCATTTTTTTAGTACTTAAAACTTTCACCCTGAAATATCTTGACTTTTACAAAATAGTAATTTAAAGAATTTCTTTATATCCTTGATAGCCTAACCAATAAAGTAGTTTTTTTTAAAGGAAATCCGACATATGTCACTTTATAAATTTTTAACTTTATCAATTTATTTATTTATAAATAGAAGGAACCTTAAAATTACTTCTCCAGAGCTGAAAACTTCACAATGGTGGATAATGAGATCAATGCTTGATCCTCTCTTTTTCTTAATATCAAGGCTAACTTAATCTTGTACATCTCTCCTGAAAAGTGCATAAACCTCAACCAATCAGAGTCGCGTATATGAAGCCGATAAATTTGAAAAACCGGTTTTTGATTTTCTCTACTATTTTCTAGATACTCAGATTAAGAAATCGTGATTAAGGATATCTGATTCTAAAGTTTTCAGCTCAGTCCTCTTGAATAAAGTTTGTTTTTACATTTTAGAGTTCAAGAAAAATAGTAAATGTGGAGATCTTTTTGCCCTAGAAGTATCTACATACCCAGCACGTTATTGCGCAGAGATTAAAACGTTGAGATAGTTTGCTTCGTATTGTTTTTATAAATAGAGTTTTAACTCGGACAAGACTTTTTTGTTCTTTTTGTTTTTAAAGCAAATTGATTGATTGTCCAAACAATAAGTATAATTATAATTTCTTAATAATATTTGTTCATATTTTATAAATCTTGAATATATTTTGTCGGAACGGACCAATTTTCGATCTCACGGACTAGTCATGAAATAAAATGTTCTTATAAATGTTTTAACATTAAAATAATGAATAAAAGTATTTATTTGTTAATATGTTGTTATCATTATTCTTTATGTTTGTTTTGATAATAATAAAAGGAAAGCTAAACATCGCGTTAACTGTATAGGGTTATATATATTTGTGTTTTGTACCTTAAGTGTTTTGACATTTACGCGTTTGAAGAAAAAGTTATTCTAAAATCATTTAAATTTTTCCTGATATTTTCGAAATCTAATCTAATCTCTAATCTAATAATTTATTTTTCCGTTGAAAATATGACAGGTTGAGCATAAAAATTATATATTTATATGATTTCTATGATATATGAAATCTAAGAAATTTCTCTTTATAATGCCCTTTTCTTAAAAACAAATTTTCAATGTTCTTGAAACGGTTTCCATTCGCCATTTGCGCAATAATACAGTGATAACCAAAAAACTCTGGAATAGGAAGTCGACTTTTAAACTCAAGATACGACTTTTGATAGCGCATAGAACATGAGGCACAGCTATAGTGCAATGTTAACAGACCCATTTTACTTAGTAATTCAATAAGTTTCAAGTAAAGCTATTTGCTTTAAACAAAACAAAATGCACTTCAGATATGCTAAAATGTCGTCTTCCTATTCCGCAGTTTTCTGGTTATGACTGTTATAGAGTAAAACTTTATCTGTGGCTGAATACTGTAATATTTAAAGCATGATGTAATATGTAAAGAATGATCATATACTGGAAAACCCTTCAACCCTTTCTCCGGCTCTGAGCGGAGTAGAGATCACCTGAAGAATAGGAGTTATTACACCCCAGATCTTTATAGAATATACATACGTACAGTTTAATCTCCCGTTTGTATATAAAGGCTGGGGGACTTGCACGTTAAACAGCTAACAGAGAGCTAAGAGAAAGATGAATTTTCAACATGCGCGCCTGTCAGGGAATACTGGACACCAGCATCTTCTCCCATCATTATACATGAATATGTATCATCAGATTCATCCGTATCATCAAGAGATTTATCTCCTCCAGTTTCTAGAACTGAACCGATTATTCTTGTACCGGCCAGTTGGGACTACCTACCGATTGTAACAGTTCCAGCTAGTCCAACCATAGACCAAGATGTACTAGATGAAACTCTAAACTCTCGAGCTGGTCCTATAAACAGGGCCACTGGAGATATAGAGCAACCAACATATCTAGGGCAAGTCCAACTACAGTTCAGCCAGTCCAACTACAAGTCAACTCTCCAGATGGTTCTATGAACAGAAACAATCAGAACAATTAGGATGTAAAAATAGAGGAGAACTAGATTTTCTAGTGTCTAGCCAATACACCAGGAGCTGCTCTATACTCTACAGAGGATTCTATACAAGAATCCAATCTTACTTGTGGCCGGGAGCAGTTAGGATATCAGTATAGACTAATGACTCCAGGAGAGGAGGAAATCTTGAGGATCTATGAGGACGGGATCTATCTTCCTCCAGATATGATTGAGAAACCAAGAGGTTTATGGATCACAGGATCTAATATGAGACCTGGGAAAAGCTGCTCTATGCAGACAGCTCCCCAACAACCAGTTGTGGAAACATCAGACTCAGATTCAGAGTTAGAAGAACTCCTAAGAGAAACTTCAGTGCCAGGTACTCCTCCGGTTTAATCTCCGACTCCAGGGTATCCTCTAACTCCAGGAGCAGCTAGGATAACTGAGGAAGCATTTTATGAACCAGCAGAAGATATTGAAGATGTTGTTGACGAGCTACAAGCCATAGTTAAAGAACTGCTGCCTTGGTTAAAGGATGATATATGATCGTCTTAATCCTCCAATCCTAGGACTCCTAGTTCAGATAAAGAAATAGAGGACCTATCTGAATCGGAGGAAGCTGCTCAGGGCGATCCTACTCCTGAGCGTTTGAATGAAGTATTTGAATTTAGAGATCCTGAACCGGTTCAGTTTGATAAGATGCATGAAGCTGAGGAAGCTGTCCTGGTCTGGAGCTTCTAAATGAGATTTTAATGTTCAGAGATACTAAACAAGAGCATCTAAATGAGAGATCTAGGTCCAGGGAAGCTGCTCAGACAAATCCAGAACTGAATGAAGAACTTCATGAAAGAGAGGCTTTGAGGATTGAATATCTGAAGCATCTCAGGACTAGACAGAGAATTGCAACGATTGAGGAGCAGTTCAAAACCTATGACCTTCTTTGGTTCGTTTTACTTTTGCTGGATTTCTTTAAACCATAGACTGGATTAGCGGGAGCATTAGAGGAGCTAAGTATGCTCAAGAACAGATGGACAGCGGACTAACGTACTGTATCTAGCTTCTAAGAAAACTGATTAAAACAAGAATAACCCAAAACAGATGTATTTAGACAAATAAACTTAAAATCTGATAAATCTAAAACTACTCAATGATAAGTACAGATGCCCTACAGGTCGGTTTCCTCTCTTCGTTAACGATCGTTAACGAAGGGGTCGTCGTTAACGATCGTTAACGAAGGGACGTCATTAACGATCGTTAACGAAGGGTCGTCGTTAACGATCGTTAACGAAACGACGAATTTTATAAAAACGATCGTTTTGAAAAACAATCGTTTTTAAAACGAGCATTTTAAAAACGAACTTTTTAAAAAAACGATAGTTTTTAAAAACGATCGTTTCGTTTTTCGATTTTTGGTCGTCGTTATCATAACGAAACGATAGTTTTTCTGAAAAATGAAAACGTTAACATCCTTAGCTACAAGCCATAGTTGAAGAACTGCTGCCCTGGTTAAAGGATGATATATCGTCATCTGAATCCTCCAATCCCAGGACTCTTAGTTCAGATATAGAATTAGAGGACCTATTTGAATCTGAGGAATCTGCTTAGGGCGATCCTACTTCCAAGGTGCTGAATGAAGTATTTGAATTTAGAGATCCTGAACAGGTTCAGTTTGATGAGATGCTTGAAGCTGAGAAAGCTGTCCTGGTCTAAAGCTTCTAAATGAGATTTTTTATCTTCAGAGATAATGGACCAGAGCAGCTAAATGGATCCAGGGAAGCTGCTCAGACATTTTCGGAACTGTAACAGCTGAATAAAGAACTTCCTGAAAGAGAGGCTTTGAGGATTGCATTTCTGAAGTATCTCAGGACTAGACAGAGAATTGCAATGATTGAGGAGCAGTTCAGAACCTATGACCTTCTTTGGTTCGTCTTACTTCTGCTGGACTTCTTTAAACCACAGACTGGATTAGCGGGAGCATTAGAGGAGCTAAGTATGCTCAAGAACAGATGGACAGCGGACTAACGTACTGTATCTAGCTTCTAAGAAAACTGATTAAAACAAGAATAACCCTAAACAGATGTATTTAGACAAATAAACTTAAAATCTGATAAATCCCGTTCATTCATACTCTGAGATATAAAGAGATAGCATTAAGGGGGTTTATGAAACAAAGTACGGGGACTTAGAGAAAAACATTTGTACAACAGAGGGAGCAAAAAATTATCTCAAAAATCTCTAAGATCTGTAATTGTAATCGATTGAATAGCTTTAATCGTTACAATAACTTATTTGTCCAAATTCAAAATGTATTTTGTCGAATGTCACAAAAAAAGCGTATCTGTTAAGTTAAGGATATCAGAAGAATAATACAGATTTTGCTGCACACCAATACCATTGCGCTAAATATTACAGAATATATAGCAATAGGTGCAGTATCTTAAAGGCTCATTTTTTTATAATTAACATATTAATTGTAATTAAACACAATTTTTATGAAAAACTTTCCTAAAATTGAATAATTACTTTTTGCGCATGGAAACCTTAAATCTTTTAGTGAAATCTATTATTTAGCAAACCTTTTACCCTGTTATTCATCCCTTGTCAATTCTTCTCTTTATTTATACTTCCTGAGATGTCTGGTGTTGCCCGTGGAATTAAAAAAAAGACGAATAATATTATTATTATAATATATATTTAATTAAAAATTTATTTTTTGAAAAAAAATCACTTTTTTAGCCTTTCTTACCCCCAGGGTATCTATAGGTTCCCTCAACGCATTTCAGCCAATTTGGTTCAGCCGTGTAGCCAGCTATAGCTAACATATATAAAAATATATATATGAGCGAAGAGCATTATTATATAGATATTCGTCATACACTGTAGTCCCCTGAGGAGTTCTGAAAAAATGGAGTGTTACAAAACAATTAACTGTATCAAACCATAATTCAAATAATAAACCAATTGTTTCTACTTTTTATCTAAATGTTTCTATTTCTGGGATTCTAGTTTTCTGAGAACTATGGTTAAATCAAATTTGCATTATGTCTAATATTTTTTGTATTCTAGGAATGATAATAAAATAAATCTTACAAAAAGAACGAATTACACAGAAATATTTTAAGCTTTAAAAAAGACGGAGTTAAACAGCGCTACTGAGTACGGATATCTTCATACATATTGGCAAATATTTGCAATATACATTTGCAATAAAGTGCAAAATCTATGCATATTATTTGCAAGGAATTTGTATTAAAGCAATAATCACCATGGTTTTTTGTCTGTAAAACTAAAGACAAACCCAACAGTTGGCACCGGTAAACATAAGTGTTAACATTAAACCCCATTTCACTAATTAAATGTTGATTTTTTGTTTAAAGTTCAGTGATGGTGATGGACCAAACCTCTGTAGAGTAAAAAAGTAGATGTTAGTTCCACATTTATTGAAAATATATTTCGGTCTGGGTTGACCCTCGTCAGTTCTTGAGATTGTTTCTTCACAAAAATTTGTTTGTTTTTTTTACTTTTTTTGTTGGGCTTTGAATTTTAAATATCAAAGTAAACGAAATTTCTTAAGCTATTTTTCACGGATTTTTTAAGTAAGAACGAAAATATTCCGATGTAGTTATTTTTACGTACATTAATGATGATATCAATGAAATTAACTTGCTAATATTTGTAAAACAAAATTTGAAAAACTATTTTTCTACATTTTTATTTTAAAACATTTTGAACCACCCTTGCACCATAACTATTAAATTCTTGGAGGTCTAATAATTTCAAAAATTAGCCGGCAT